TACAAAGCCGGGACGGAGCACGCCGGGTTCTCACCGGACCAGGCTCTCACATCACCAAGCGCGAAGCGCCGTGAGGGGGGGGGCTAATTGTTGTGTGCCACAACTGGGTGAACAGCTGTGGCCGTTCCTCGCGGAACGGATTCGTCAAGTCAAATGGTTCAGCATCATTCTCAAAACCCAACCCCAAAATCAATCGGCCGCTAACTCTGTCTGCGCCTCATTGGGCAAAAATCGGGATAACGAGTGACATGGAAGGAACATGTTCAAGCCAAGGTTGTACTTCCGAAACATTGGTTGGAGTGACGGGGTGCGAGCTAGCTTTGCTCTTGGTCGATGAAAGCCTTTCATCCTTGAGATTCGACATGCCGCTCTGTCGACCAGCCTGCGCGACTAGCCTACAAGCACCGCTCGACCTCCTCAGGTCACGGGTGGCTAGCTGGCGCGTTTTCTCACCGTCCAAGACCCGTCCCCGTGCCTACGGCACAACAACCCTTTTCGCCACTTGCTGCTCTTCTTCTTGTCCTGAACGGTAACCTTGGACCCTTCACCCAAGCCCGGCTCGGCTTTTCCTCCCGAGGACACGCCACGGTCTTCCTTCTGCAACGATTTCCCGCCCTTCTTCCTCTTCTTCTTGCGATCGCTCGACGACACAACAGCCGCCGCGCTATCTCTGCCGCCGCCTCCCCCGCCGCCATTGGGCGCGACGCTCTCCCTCGTGCGTTCCGCTTCTTCCCCCCCGACGGCCGCGCTTGGTGACGAGGAAGAGTTCACAGCGGTGTGTGTTTCTCGACTCTCCTGTTTCGCCCGGGCTTCCACTGCCACCTCTTCCACCGTCGCCACCCCTCCAACATCCCCTTGTTCCACCACCGCCGCCGCCGCCGCCGTCGCGCCGTTACCCGCATTATCTGAGAGTTGTCCTTCCTCTGATACAACTACCGACTCCTTCTCCCGTGGCTTGTCTTCCTGTGTCCGGTACCTCGCTACCGCCTCTGGTATGGCGACGCCAACCACGGGACAAGGAGGCTCCTCTCCGTTTCTCACGCCACCTTCCTCCGCCGCCGCCGGTGGCGGCGGGCACTCGCTGCCATCGCCGTCCAGCTGGTCAGGCGCTGATGCCGTCGCTTCGCCATCTTGTGCGCCGACACCGGCGACGGTACCCGTCGAAGCAGCGGCGGCGGTGGCATCGTGTCCGTTACTGGCCGTGCTGTGGCCGTTCGTCACCGGCCGCCCGCCGCCTGCCGTGTCTTTCGCTCGTCGCTGCTCGTTCTCTGCCGGTGTTGTTTCTCGCTTGCTGGGACTATCCTTACGTCGGAGCGGCACGGCAGCATCCACGACAGCGACTTTCTCTTCGTCACCACCATACCTGCCACCTTCGTGTGTGGCGGACTCTGTATCACCACCGCCGCCGCCGCCGCCGCTGCTGCTGCTGCCACTACTGCTGCTACTATAACTGCTACTGCTGCTGCTGCTGCTGCTGCTGCTGCTGCTGTTATACGAGCTAGCATCACTGCTGTTGCCGCCCCCGCCGGCATGGCTGCCGCCGTTCGCTCCAAGCTTTCCACCTGCCGTCGACGCCGAGGCGAAGCCAGGCGCAGCCGGAGGAGAGGCAGCCAAGGCCGCACCCGCCCCCTCGAAGAGCAGGCGCAGGGGGCGCGGGGCGCGGGGAAGGAGCAGCATAAGCTGGTCGTAGTCATGGAGACGCCGTCCGTCCACACCAACAAGGTAGTCCCCTGTGATCAACAACGCGGGTACGGTAGGCGGGTGGGCGGGGGGGGGGGC